AGCCTGTTTTGAGCTAAACACTCCTAAACCCTACTAAAACGCTCCTAACAGCTTTTTTTTCCCCCTCTACATGTACTGTAAAAACGCTAATAAAACGCTAATGCTCCTAAAGACTTGTGAACACTACTATAATGCTACTAAAACGTTACTAAAAAATGTTATTACCAGCGGTTTTTTACCAGCATTTTGTGAGCTAATGCTAGTATGCATGGAGCTTAACTCCTTGATGCCGACCACATGCAAATTAGTGGCCTCACAGAACTGGGCTTTTTCCCATGGGCCACTAATTTGCGCACCTGTCTGCCCAAAGTAGTTGTGATGATTTGTGCGGTTTTACTAACGTGTCAAAGTTACAAAATTGTGCTTAGGCATTAAGATTTGCTTTATATTTAGGCACGAAGGGGTTAAGTTTACATCCTTAACTGCTTCCGCGCCGCCCTATAGCAGAAATACTGCTACAGGGCGGCACAGGTGCGCAAAACCACGTATATATGCACCACCGTTCGTGGCCTCGGTTGTCAATCACCAGGTCCCGGCCGGTGATTCCCTGCCGGCACCCGGAGATCTACGAGAATTACCGAAGGGGAGAGACCTGTGTATAAACAACACAGATCTCTCCCATGTCAGCTCCTGCACACTGCTTTGTATGGTTCTTCATAGCGGAGCCATGCAAAGCAGTGTGCTTACAGTGGAAAACACACACAGCACACAGTTAACCCTTTGATCGCCCCACATGTTAACCCCTTCCTGCCCAGTGCCATTAGTACAGTGTCAGTGTTTTTTATTAGCACTGATCACTGTATTGGTGTCACTGGGGATGTCAGTAACACAAAGTCAGTTCCCCCCAGTGTCAGAATGTCCGGCGTAGTCCCACTATAAGTCGATGATCGCCGCCATTACTAGTAAATAAAAAATGTAAAGAAAAATTCCAGTATCTATACCGCCATTTGTAAACGCTACAACTTTCATGTAAACCAATTAATTTACACATATTGGGAATTTTGTTTTAGCACAAACATGGAGCAGAATACATTTTGGCCTAAAATGACGAAATTTGATTTTTAAAATTTTTTTATTGGACATGTTTAATAGCAAAAAAGTCCAAAATATTGTTTTCTCAAATTGTCTGTCTTTTTTTGTTTATAGCATAAAAAATAAAAACACGCACAGGTGATCAAATACCACCGAAAGAAAGCTCTATTTGTGGGAAAAAAAGGACGTAAATTTACTTTGGGTGCAGCGTTGCATGACTGCGCAATTGTTCGTTAATGTAACGCAGCGCCGTAACGCAAAAAAAACGGCCTGGTCAGGAAGGGGGGTAAATCCTCTGGAGTACAAAAAGTCAAAAATATTGTTTTTGTCCTCAAAATTGTTGGGGTTTTTTTGTTTATAGCTCAAAGAATAGAAAACGCAGAGGCGATCAAATACCACCAAAAAAAAGCTACATTTTTGCAAAAATTTATGACGAAATTTGATTTTTAACATTTTTTACTGGACATGTTTAATAGCAAAAAGTCAAAAATATTGTTTTTTTCTCAAGATCATCAGTCTTTTTTTAAATTTATAGTGCAAAAAATAAAAAACGCACAGGCGATCAAATACCACCGAAAGACAGCTCTATTTGTGGGAAAAAAAGGACACCAAAAGAAAGCTACATTTTTGCCTAAATTTATGATGAAATTTAATTTTTAACATTTTTTTACTGGACATGTTTAATAACAAAAAGTCAAAAAAAATTTTTCTCAAGATTGTCGGTCTATTTTTTTTTGCTTATAGTGCAAAAAAAAATTAAAAAACACACAGGCGATCATATACCGAAAGAAAGCTCTATTTGTGGGAAAAAAGGACGTAAATTGCATTTGGGTGCAACGTTGAATGACCGTGCAATTGTCCATAAAGTAACACAGCGCCGTAATGCAAAAAATGGCCTGGTCAGGAAGGGGGGTCAATTCTTTGGAAGGCAAGTGGTTAATAGCAAAAAGTCAAAAATATTGTTTTTTCTCAAAATTGTTGTTTTTTTTTTGTTTCTAGCTCAAAAAATAAAAACCTCATAGGTGATCAAATACCACCAAAAGAAAGATGCATTTTTGGCTAAATTTATGATGAAATTTTATTTTTAAAATTTTTTTACTGGACATGTTTAATAGCAAACAGTCAAAAATATTTTTTTCTTGATTGTCGCTTTTTTTTAATGTATAGCGCAAAAACTAAAAAACGCACAGGCGATCAAATACCAAAAGAAAGCTCTATTTGTGGGGGAAAAAAAGGACGTAAATTCTATTTGGGTGCAGCATTGCATGACTGCTCAATTGTCCGTTAAAGTAACGCAGTGCCGTAACGCAAAAAATGGCCTCGTCAGGAAGGGGGTAAATCCTCAGGAGGACAAGTGGTTAATAACAAAAAGTCAAAAATATAGTAGTTTTTTTTTCTCAAAAGTGTCGTTTTTTTTTGGTTTATAGCTCAAAAAAATAAAAAAGCAGAGGCGGTCAAATACCACCAAAGAAAGCTGCATTTTTGCCAAAATTTATGATGAAATTTGATTTTTAACATTTTTTTACTGGACATGTTTAATAGCAAAAAGTCAAAAATATTTTTTTCTCAAGAGTGTCGCTTTTTCATGTATAGTGCAAAAACTAAAAAACTCACAGGCGATCAAATACTAAAAAAACTCTATTTGTGGGAAAAAAAAGGATGTAAATCCCATTAGGGTGCAGCGTTGCATGACTGCATAATTGTCCGTTAAAGTAACGCAGCGCCATAACGCAAAAAATGGCCTGGTCAGGAAGGGGGTAAATCCTCAGGAGGACAAGTGGTTAATAACAAAAAAGTCAAAAATATAGTTTTTTTTCTCAAAAGTGTCGTTTTTTTTTTGGTTTATAGCTCAAAAAAATAAAAAAGCAGAGGCGGTCAAATACCACCAAAGAAAGCTGCATTTTTGCCAAAATTTATGATGAAATTTGATTTTTTTAACATTTTTTTACTGGACATGTTTAATAGCAAAAAGTCAAAAATATTTTTTTTCTCAAGAGTGTCGCTTTTTTTATGTATAGTGCAAAAACTAAAAAACTCACAGGCGATCAAATACTAAAAAAACTCTATTTGTGGGAAAAAAAGGATGTAAATCCCATTAGGGTGCAGCGTTGCATGACTGCATAATTGTCCGTTAAAGTAACGCAGCGCCATAACGCAAAAAATGGCCTGGTCAGGAAGGGGGCTAAATCCTCAGGAGGGCAAGTGTTAACAGCAAAAAGTCAAAAACATTGTTTTTTTTTTTCTCAAAATTGTTGGTCTTTTTTTGTTTATAGCTGAAAAAATAAAAATGCAGAGGTGATCAAATACCACCAAAAGAAAGTTTTTGCCTAAATTTATGATGAAATTTAATTTTTAAATTTTTTTTACTGGACATGTTTAATAGCAAAAAGTCAAAAATATTGTTTTTTTCTCAAGATTGTCGGTCTTATTTTTAATTTATAGTGCAAAAACTAAAAACCAAACCACGCAGGCGATTAAATACCGAAAGAAAGCTCTATTTGTGGGGGGGAAAAAAGGACATAATTTAATTTGGGTGCAGTGTTGCATGACCACACAATTGTCCGTTGGGCTACGTTCACACTAGCGTTGTGTGCAGGCGGCAGAGAGGCGTTTGGGAAGCGTTTTTACCGCTTCCCAAACGCCTCTGCCAATTCTGCACATTACAGCACATAGTGCTGTTCTAACGGGAGCGTTTGTGTCGCATCGCGGCAAAACAGACGCCTCTGGTCGCGGCAAAACAGAAGCCTCCTATTCTCGTCTATGGTGCCGCTCCGCAAACGCCCAGCCGGTTGCGACACGGTTGAGGGGCGTTTGCGGAGCGGTAACACCACTCAAACTGCATTATAGGCATTTTGTGGGGCGTTCTTAACGCTCGGCAAACGCCTAGCAACCGCCGCAAAACCACGCATGCGGCGTTTGCGGAGCGTTTGCCAAGCATTAAACACCGCTCCGCAAACGCCGGACCAACGCTTGCCAAACGCTATAGGGGCGTTTGGCAAGCGTTGGTAAAACAGCCAAGCATGAACAAGCCCTTAAAGTAACGCAGCGCCATAACGCAAAAAAAATTCCTGGTCAGGAAGGGGGGTAAATCCTCCGGAAGGCAAGTGGTTAAATAGAATATTTTTAATGTCACAAATGTCAAGTTACAATGGATCTACAGATCCAGCATGAGAATAGACAAGAAAAGAGAAAAGAAAAGAGAAACGAGAAAAGAAAAGAAAGGTAAAGAAAAAAGAAAAGAGAAAAGAAAGGAAAAGAAAAAAAGAAAAGACAAGAGAAAAGAAAAGAAAAGAAAAGAAAAAAAGAAAAAAAAGAAAAGAAAAGAAAAGAGAAAAGAAAAGAAAAAAAAAAAAGAGAAAAGAAAAGAAAAGAGAAAAGAAAAGAAAAAAAAAAGAAAAGAAAAAGAAAAAAAAAAAAAAGAAAAAAGAAAAAAGAAAAGAAAAAAAGAAAAGAAAAAAAAAAAAAAAAAAGAGAAAAGAAAAAAAAAAAAAAAGAAAAGAAAAAAAAAAAAAAAGAAAAGAAAAAAAGAAAAGAAAAGAAAAAAAAAAGAAAAGAAAAAAAAGAAAAGAGAAAAGAAAAAAAGAAAAAGAAAAGAGGTCAGCTAAAATGTTGGAGCAGAAGTCTGTGACCTCAGGAACTGTTCCTGTTCACTGTGGAGAGCCTGCAATCATGAGCAGTGCTCCTGCATCCCACATCCTAGCCCTAGTGCAGTGGAGGTGAAGCATGCTGAGACTTGTAGTCTCCCGGAAGCAGCTGAGCGAGCAGTTGTGTGTCAGAGGAACTGCTGAGTGTCTCCATGGCCAGCCAGTCCCCTCCTCTGTACACACAGGTACTCCCTGAGCCACTCCTGTATGGCAGGCCCTCCTCTCCCCTATACACGTCTGTTCCTCTCCCAGCCTCTCCTCCTCCCTCCTCCCTGGACACACAAGTCCTCCCATCCTCCCCATTCTCCTGTCCCTGGCATGGAGCTGGCACTGCCCCTTTCCTGTTATTTGCTGTGCTTTTCCTGTTTTGGTGAGTTTGTTTTCCTTGAAGTTTGTATCTCTCCTGTGGATCGTGCTGTACCCTGTCCTCGTCCTCTTCTCTGTACACCTCTGCTTTCCTGGAGCTTCAACTCCCAACAAATCTCCAACTTCAGCAATCTCTTCCCAGGAGACATCAGAGATCTGATTATAGATCATGGTGGCCATACATGCTTTGATTTTATTGATGTGCGATTCGGTCGAATCGGTAGCAACAGCAAACGTAACTTCTATTCCGATCGATTTAGATCAGATTCGATTGCCAGGGCGAAAAATGATCATTCGTGTTGCATCGATCGGCAGCCCTGAGATGCTTTGTTCACGAATTTGATCATATTTTGATCGATAGGATTACGATTGCCTGTACATTCTTAATAATCTCCTATCATATCTTTCAACTGCTGATAGAAATGCACTCTTCTGTGTGTTACATCAATTGAATGGGTTGATGACTATAGATCGATTATTCCTACTGGGAGAAACGAATTGGATGCTCCTTTATTGAAGCATGTATGGTCACCACGGAGGCTCGCTTATACCTTAATATCCGTGTTCACTCTGCAGTTCCACGTTCGCGTTTACATACATTTGTAGTGCGTTTGCGGCACGTTTGCAGTGCGTCTGGAACGCATTTGTGGTCTCTTTTTCATTATTATGAACTTTTTTTTACTGAGTTGCATTTACGTGCATTTGTAGTACATTACAGTAAATGTGAAAAAATGCAGTTCAACAGAGAGCATATCTCATATGAAAAACTAACCTATGCAGTAATAGCCTGTACAGCTGGATTTAGAAAAATGCTGTGTACGTTTTATTAAATGCACGTGAAAGCATCACAGTGGTGTGAACTAAGGGCTGCTTCACACTATAGAAACGCAGTCTGGACGTGTATCTGCATGTACATTTTGTATGCATTCTGGTGCGTTTGGGATGTGTTCCAAATGCTTTTTTCCCCTCCTTTTTTGAGGTCCAGTGTGTATTTGATGCATTCCAAAAGCTTTTTTTCTTCCTTTTTGGGGTCATTTGGAGTCCAGTGTGTATTTGATGCGTTCCAAATGCTTTTTTTTCTCCCTTTTTGGGGTCCAGTGTGTTTTTTTTTTTCCTCCTTTTTTGGGGTCGTGTGTATTTAGTGTGTTCCAAATGCTTTTTCCTCCTTTTTTTTATTATTTATTTCAGGTACTTATATAGCGCTATCAATTTACACAGTGCTTTACATACATATATATTGTACATTCACATCAGTCCCTGACCCTCAAGGGGTGTACAATCTAAGGTCCCTAACTTGCATTCATACATTTACATACTAGAGCCAATTTACCTACCAGCATGTCTTTGGAGTGTAGGAGGAAACTGGAGTACCTGGAGGAAACCCACACAGACACAGGGAGAACATGCAAATCCCAGGCAGGTGGTGCTGGGGTTGGGATTCAAACCAACAACCCTAGTACTGCCAGGTGGAAGTGCTAACCATTTAGCCACTGTGCTGCCCAATAGTTTTTGGGGTCCAGTGTGTATTTGATGCATTCCAAATGCTTTTTTTCCTCCTTTTTTGGGGGTTATTTGGGGCCCAGTGTGTATTTGATGCATTCCAAATGCTCTTTTTCCTCCTTTTTTATTTATCTCAGGTACTTATATAGCGCTGTCAATTTACACAGTGCTTTACATATATGTCATATATTCACATCAGTCCCTAACCCTCAAGGGGCCTACATATTAGGGTCAATTTAGACAGGATCCAATTAACCTACCAGCATGTCTTTGGAGTGTAGGAGGAAACTGGAGTACCCACATAGGCACAGGGAAAACAGGCAAACTCCATGCAGGTGGTGCTATGGCTGGGATTTGAACCAATGACCCTAGCATTGCCAGGCAGAAGTGCTAACCATTTAGCCACTGCACTGCCCAATATTTTTTTGGGATCATTTGGGGTCCAGTGTGTATTTGATGCATTCCAAATGCTTTTTTTCCCCTCCTTTTTTGGGATCATTTGGGGTCCAGTGTGTATTTGATGCATTCCAAAAACTTTTTTTCTTCCTTTTTTAGGGTCATTTGGGGTCCAGAGTATTTTGTGCATTCCAAATGCTTTTATTCCTCCTTTTTGAGGTCATTTGGACTCCAGTGTGTATTTGATGCTTTCCAAATGCTTTTTTACTCCTTTTTTTGGGGTCATTTAGGGTCCAGAGTATTTTATGTGTTCCAAATGCTTTTATTCCTCCCTTTTGAGGTCATTTGGGGTCCAGTGTGTTTTTGATGCGTTCCAGTGTGTTTGATGCGTTCCAGTGTAGTTCTGTGCAGGAAAAATGCAGCATGTTCTACTTTTTTTTCTGGAACCAGAACACACTGGAACTGCAAGCACTAGTGTAAACCATACCATTGACAACCATGTAACCTACTTTCTGTGCGTTTTGGATGCAGAAAAAAACGCACTGAAGCGCGTGTGTGGACCAGCCCTAAGGTCACTGAAATGCATGTGGTTGTAAAGGTTTTTTGCCTTCATGTATTCTATGCATGAAGGTAAAAAACCCTTCTGTGTGCTGCTCCCCCTACAGCCCCCCTGATACTTACATGAGACCCTTCTCAACCCAGCGATGTGCACAGGAGCCTTGGCTGTCCTGGGTCTCTCTCTCCTCATTGGCTGAGACGCAGCAGCGGGAGCCATTGACTCCAACTGCTATCAATAACAGCACGTGCAGCCAGTGGAGGCAGGGCCGGGCCGAGCTGCAGCTCTGTTCTTATGGAAACATAGAATGGGGCTCGGGAGTGAGCACGCACCAGTGCCCCCATAGCAAGCATGCTATTGGGGGCACTGGTCAAGGGGAGGAGCCAGGAGCACCGGCAGGGGACTAGAGAAGAGGAGGATCGGGCTGCTGTGTGCAAAACCACCTCACAGAGCAGGTAAGTATAACATGTTTGTTATAAAAAAAAGAACCTTTAATATCACTTTAATTTTTCTTGCATATACATTTGTACCGCTTTTAAAAGCTTATTTGAATGCATCCGGTACAAGCCCCAAACTCCTTGCACACAGTACTGATGTTTTTATGTTGAATCTTCCTGGCAAAAAGTCTCTGCATAACAAAGCGAATATGGCCCTTAAAGTACATATACTGTAATTACACACGTATATAAACGTCTATACGCTCATAAGTGCGCAAAATTCCCCTAGCTCCCAGAATGTTCTTTTGCAGGAAAATAAACCAGTAATATTATAATCTAATATTCTAATAGATCATCTCTGCACCTTTTTTTCACATTTCTTTTAAAGGGAGCGTGTATATGCGTATATACACGTATATATATATATATATATATATATATATATATATATATATATACATATATACGTGATCCAGCACAGTGGGCCTGCAATGTAGCAGTAAATGTACAGTATACGATGTATGGTCCGCAAGTGGTTAAACTGGATATTTAACGGGCAGCACAGTGGCTAAGTGGTTATTACTTCTGCCTGGCAGCACTAGGGTCGCCGGCTCGAATCCCAACCACGGGACCACCTGCCTGGAGTTTGCATGTTCTCCCTGTGTCTGTGTATGTTTCCTCCCACACTCCAAAGACATCCTGGTAGGTTAACTGGCTCCTGTCTAAATTGGCCCTAGTATATGTATGTATGAATGTGAGTTAGGGACCTTAGATTGTACGCCCCTTGAGGATTAGGGACTAATGTGAATGTACAATATATATGTAAAGCACTGCATAAATTGATGGTGCTATATAAGTACCCATAATAAATAAATAATAAAAATTTCTACCAGCTTCAGGGAATAAGACTCAGCATAAATATCTGTATTTTCAAGTTAAAAAAAAAAATCTGCCAGAGGGTCTAACCCTTCCCCATATTAAAAATTAAAATAAAAGGTTATTGCATGGAGATACACTTGAAGGGCTCATTCATAGGGATGCATGAGCCCTTCAAGTGTATCTCTATGCAATAACATTTTATTTAATTTTTAATATGGGGAAGTGTTAGACCCTCTGACAGATTTTTTTTTTTATCCCTGCCTGTGCCCTCATTGGGGATGTTCACCACTCTGTACTGGTGACCACTGACACCAAGAAAGAAAATTAATGAAAAACCAACATTTTAGAATTGTCACCAGAGCAAGAGTTAAGGGGGAATCTTCCAATGAGGACACCTTCTCAGGGGACAGCTGTCTAAAGGTTTGTGGACATGGGCATAGAGTGTTCTGTGCTCAGATCTGTAGACCCGTTTCAGAAAGGGTGGACCCGTCAGCAGATCCGCTTGCTCAGTGGGGGATCTCTCCGATGATCCCTGCTGAGCAAGCAAATGACAGGTCTGTGTCTGCTCCGCTGCTGCAGAATGGACACAGACACAGCCCACTATTTTCTATGGGGCAGTCAGATGGAAACGGATCGTCTGTCCATTTCTACCTGTCAGTCATCTGATCCGATGTGCCAGCAGATCCACATCTGTCTGGTTTTAGCGGACAGGATCTGATTAGATACCAGCGAGTGTCAGCGGACATATGTCCGCTAACACCCGCCATGCCATAGAGCGCTATGGATGGTCTGATCGGGTCCACCTGAAAAACTGACAGGCAGACCCAATCAGACCATTAGGGGCCTTAAAGTATAGAAATCTGACCGCAGCAGTGTTGTATGCTTTGGACTCATTCACACAACACAGATTTGGTCTGTAGAGTTCAGCTGTGTAAGGGTTCATGTACACGAGACGTTTGGAAAACTCTTCTGAACGATGGAAACTGACTGCTGGAAAACGTCTGTTTAGCTGCATTTGCATACCACATTTGTGCGCGTTTATGTGCGTTTGCGTTTAGAAGCGTTTTTTAAAGATAACATCAGGAGACCTTCCAAAATGCCCAGAATGCACTGAAAAACAGTAAAAAAATAACTGTTTTAGACATTTTGATAGAAATAGAGAGAGCAGAAGCAGAGAGAGCAGTATGTGTTGAGATTACCTGTCTTTTCTGGTTGTATTCACTATGGATCCCATCA